AGAAGTAGAAAGCCTCATCTTTCTTCCTCATGGTGGCTCTGGTTCCAAATTGTTGGTGTTGCGAATCACAGCCCAATGCGTAACCATGAGGCATCTGTCAAATTTAAATTGAAAACAGGCCAGTGCGCTCTCGGTGATTATACAACTCTGATACCACCTGTCAGACCTGATGGATTCATTCACCTTTCCTGCGCAGCTCTGTTCTGGGCTGTGTGCTTACATACCTTCAAGGATCTGATCAGAACAAAGTGGTGCCTACTTTTAGCACTGGGGTCCCTAATGTGGTTCCAGCCTTGGCAAGGTGAGAGACGGGGCTGGGCTTGAATCTCTGCATCCTCAGTGCCCATTATCCCGCTCCCACCCAACAAGTACCTTAACTGCTTGAGAGGCACCCCTATCAGCAACTGCACTAAGACGTTTCTCCCAAGAGTGAAGTGTAAGCCAAAGAGAGGGATGATCTAAGAGCCTTGGCTTCTTTTTTCTTTTTTTCTTAATGTAGGATGTGGAGGGAGGGAGAAAGCCCCTCCTTGTCCCGGAGGCATGCCGAGGAGCGGGTGCTGCTTGATACAAGCCGGTCCCTGCTTGTATTCTTGCTCTGCTCATCTTTCAGCCCGACCTTGTTGTCATTTCTGGCCACCCATGCTGTGCTGGCTGTGAAGCATCTCTGATCCCCCTGCTTACCTGAGAAAGCTTCCATCTGAACACCTACCCTAGTGTCGTTCCGCTCTCATCGTTATGTTTCTTCCTGAAATTCCCCAGGTTCGTAACTGTAAGGCTGAAGTCGGGCCTGTTTTATGGTAGGGACAGCAGCAAATCCTAAGTAAGAATAACAGCTTGCCTTACACTGACTGGCTCAAGGGAATGGTCCTTTTTGGGAAAGGAGACATGACCTCCTGCACATGAGCATCAGCTGATGCCAATCGCGGTGAAAGAAGCGCTCCTTTCGGTGTGTTTCCGTTGGATCAAGTAGGAAGTCGGAGTGCCCCTGTGCACAGCACTCTGGCACTTTGTCTGGACGTCGTGGCAGTGGCTGGACGGGAGTAATGGGCCAGGGACTGGTCTCTCTGCAGCACCCACTGCCTCTTCCCCCCCGGCCTCTTCTGACTCGTGTTCTTGTGTTCCTGAAGACTGAGACAAACTGCTTCTTCACTGCTCTCCCTGCCTTTTCACCTAAACGTTTAGCAGTATTCTGTGACAGTGATAAGAATTGTAAAAGAAAAGCTGAAAAAATTACTGTGGAAGGGAAAGAAACTTTGAATGATTAGAACACAGTGTAATATTTTATTTCTATAAAGCAAGATGCGTATGTCCAGCCTGAACATCAACCATAGCACATCCACCTTGATTTTGTCGCCGTTTGCTATAGACAGGATGGAGGAAGCCCATCGAGCCCTTTTCTGACTAAGTAAATACAGACAAAGAAATCTGTGCTAACTAGGTATGGGTAGTTTAAGGCTGTTTGTGCGATTATGCACGAGGGACTCGGCCCACACCCTCTGTTCCTCCCTTGACAGCGCTGGGCACTGGCCTGGCCCCTAGAGTGCTGTGTTGTAATTAATGGCAGCTGCAGGCCAGTGCCCACCTGTCAGCTCTTCTTCAACAGAACATCTTTTTGTGTGTTTTGATTAAAATGTTGACTAAAGGTCATCTCACTGGATTGTAAACTTAGACATTCCCCTCCCCCACCACACTCTTCCAGTCCTTTCTCTTACACCCACGGCCTCTCCCTTGAGAATGGAAATCACACAGGTCCTTTTAGCAAAGGGGTTTGTTTTCTGCCCCTCACACAATCTGGGCCCCAGAGAACATGGGTGAAGTGACCTCACGATTACATTTTTTCATAGAAAAGACAAGTTACAGCAATGTTAGGGGTCCCAGGAAGAGCGCCCCTCCCTCCAGCCCGAGGAACCGGTCTCAGGGCCCACCGTGGTGAAGCGCCTGGTCCCGTGGCTGTAGCGTCCGTGGGACATGGCAGTCTAGCGTGGAGATGGTCTCCTTGTGGGGAGTGCAGGTCCTTTTCCAGCCCCAGCCCCTCTGTAGCCACTCTTCCTCCCACCCGGCTGCTGCCCAGCCTCCGTGTGCCTCCGTCTCGGCAGCCCTGCTCCCCACAGGCCGCCCTCTAGGGCTTGTAGTCTTCGGGGCGGATCTTCATCTCCACCCGTTTGAGGGAGTAGTTAGCCCCGTGCCAGCCATACCAGCTGATGCCATCCAGGTGCTTGTTGTGCTCACCGAGGCGGTAGTAGACTCCGTTGAGGTTAGAGTCTGTGCAGCAGTTGTACCAGTAGCCACCTGGCACAAGAAACCAAACAGAGTGAGCTAAGAATGCCCTCCCCTTGGAAAGTGCCGACCGCCGCGAGCTGGCTCAGGACTTGGTTGTCATCCTCCCGTGAGCTGCAGTGACAGAGGTGCCCACTCCACGGTGCCTGCTGGACAGCTAACACTGCACCGTTTCTCCGCAAGTGGCATTGTGTCCAGAACGGAATTCCCTTCCCCACCCCCAGATCTCACCTTTGCGGAGCTGTGCGCAGTGGTCCAAGCAGTTGTCATTGTCCTTGTCCTTGGTGCTGAAGACTGTGTTGTTGTGGTAGGAGAGGGCGCTGTTCTCCACATTGCCACTGAAGTTCCCCAGGAAGAGGCGGTAGCTGTTCAGTTCATCGCCCAAAACGAAGTGGCTGTACTCGGCATAGCGCGTGTTGCCCTCCCAGTCCTGTTGGAGGAGACGGGGCCTGTGAGGGGCTACAGCCAGGCTTCATTTCAGACCAGCTCTGCACCAGACTCAGCCCAGGACGTGCAACACCCCTCTCCTGAGTCACCCTGTGGCTCCCTCACTTCCCTGTGCGCTGTGAATGGATGTCTTGGCTCCACCTCCCTCAGGGGGCTCATCGGAGGAGCATGAGAACATAAAGTGCGTGCTGCCAGGCCTGTGACTGAGCCACACACACACAGTATCAGTAAGGCTGGTGCTTCAAGGGCCTGTTCCCCAGGCCAGAGCAGGCATAATGGTATCCCAGCTCACTGGTGGGCTTGCTCTGCCTCAGCCTGGGCCTGGCTCCCTCATCATACCTCCTCCAGCCCTGGCTCTTCTTTTGTGCAAAACGGAAAATCAAACACCTGTTTTCTCTCCACTTTGCTAGACCTTACAGGAAATGGTGGCCGGCAATGCACAGATCTGTAGTAAGAAGGAATAGCGATGGCAGAGTGGGATGGGGTGACCCTGCTCCAGCTCAGGCTCACCTCCATTTCCACGCGGAGCCGAGTTGGCCGTTGGGAGAGCCGGTGGATGTGCTCGTTTCCCAGCCAGAAGTCCCCGCGGATGCTGCCAAAGCCCAGCTTGTACTGCTTCCAGTCCTGGAAGAAGGACACCAGGCCGCTCCGCCGCCTCTGAATGATGGTCCAGCCGCCTCCTGAAGTCTCCATATCACAGAACACCTAACACAGACAGGGCGGGGTCAGGGGCTAGCAGAGACCGGCGGTGGGCAGTTGTGGGCCCACCTCCCCACCTCTCGCCATTGCACAGCCAGTGGGGGCACACTTCCACAGGCACACTGGCACACCTTGCAAGCCGTTCCAGCGCAGTGAGCTGGGCCAACAGTGATGGTTTGCTACGGAAGACTGTCTGAACTGGTGGGAAAGGGCTCTGGGGTGTGCAGCCGTACATAGGGACCTGCCTCGCTTTGTTACACTTAGCTGATAGTGTGTTTTCCACAAGTAGAAGCTGTGTGGCAGCTCTGCGTTGAGTAAGTGCGTGTGCTCCCTCTGTGTCTCTGTCACAATGTGGCAATCCTCACAGTATTTCAGAGTTTATAATGCTATTTATTGCATATGTAATAGATTGCTGTAGAGTAATTTTCAGATGCCCGTGACTTGCTTTAGGAAGGCGTTCGTTTTATTGGCGGTGGTCTAGAACCAAGCACCCAGGCTCTTCAAGGTGCCCTGGTAGGGTCTGCAGGGGAGAGAATTGGGGTCATCTGCTGTGCTAGCGTCATGGGCTCTCCTTTCTCCTCCCCGAAGAATAACTACTCCCGGAGAGCAGAAGACTGAACCTACTAACGTGGAGCTTAGACGCATTTGCTACATGTGCGTTGGGCTAGCTCTCTGGCATTTGATGTGTTTGCTTTCCTGGTTTTGAGTCTCTCTTTCTTTGGACTATGGGGAGCCCCTGTTTCCAGCCCTGTGAGGGGTACAGGCAGGCAGAACATCTGTGTGCTGAAGCAGTGTGCCGAAGTGGGCCTCACCTCCAGCTCAGGGCTGCCCAGGAAGTCATCAGGTGGAAGCTTGTAAGCTCCAGAGATGTGGTAGTTCTTCTGATGGAGGGATGAGCAGTCATAGATGGCATCTACAAGGGAGCAGACCACAGCGTGAGTGTCCAGGCTCAGGGCCCTGTGACTCTGTGCTGGATGTATTTAAACCGCAGCTGCATTCCTGCCATAGGATTCCCATCCATCTCAGTAGGCAGTGTCTGAATTCGGGAGACAGAGAGAGGAGGAGCTATTTTTGGACTTCAGGGAATGCAGGGCAAGGCACTAGGAAGCCCTTCACCGTATAACATCAGTGGGACAACCCAGGGGGCTTACAGGTTAACTCTGAAATGAAGTCTTCTGTAGTATGGAACTCTGAAGCCCAGAAATGTTACAGTTCCTGACATGCTCCTGTTTGACAGTCCAATGTCTTAGACAGCAAGCCTCTGATCGATCAGGCAGGAGTCTCTGGTTTGGGTACTGTTGGCTGGTTGGTTTTTGTTGCTGATTTTCAGAGGGTAATGGCTACTGCAAACCAGAACCCTCCTTAAGGGAAATAGATTTTTACAGTTTTATCTGGGATGCTCCCACTCCCCAGTCTCGCCATGCCAGAGTCTCACGTGAAAATGAGAAGGCTCTAGGAACCCTCCAGGCCGCCCCGGCAGTGATAGGAAGGCGCAGAGGAGAGGGGAGCGGAGGGCTGGCGGGCAGGCGCCTTGGCACTCGGGCTGCTTTTGAACGTGTCCTGGGCTGCCTTTGGGGCCACTGCTTTACACCAGGGTTTGAATCCGTGTTCTGAATATCACAGAGCAGTATGGGAAAGACAGCCTTTCCCGGTGAGATTCAGCAAGCAGGAAACCTTACTGTCCAGGAGAGTACTGCCCGGTCTTGGGATTCTCTTCTCGGGACCACTACGCTGGCCCTTAGAAAAGAGCACAAAGATGGCAGAAATCGCACTTCCGCCCCAGGAATTGCTTGGATTTGCCAGGTTCTGCTGCAGAACGCACTGGGGGAGGGGACGGAGGCCAGCCTGCCTTGGCCAACCAAGTTCTTCATTTGCTTTTACTGATGAAAACACCTCAACCTACTGCTTTGCCCAGGCAGCTGGCCCTGAAGGAGAAAAATCAGGGCCCTGGCCCTGGGCAAGGAGAGTAAGAGGAGAGATGCAGTTGGTCCCCCAGGAAACGCCCTGCTGGGTGGGCAGCAAATCTAGTCTGGAGGGGTAGTCGGTCAGATTGTCCCATCTGCTTTCATCTACAGAGCTAACCCAGACTCACTTGTCTGGAAAATGGCCGGAGGACACCTTTCCAGCCCAAACTAAGGGTCCAGAAGTAAATGCTAGAAAAATTATTTATACACGTCAATGTGCATAGTACAGTTTTCAAGTTTATTTAAGCTAACCCACTTTCTTCATCTGAACAGAGGGCCATTTCTCCATTCTCAACTTGGTTTCCAGTGTAACCAGCGGTGGTTTTGTTTTGTTTTAAACCGTTTTATTGGCACTTCATGCACATACATACAATTCAGTAGTTCAACCATCTCTAACCATCAGTGTATGTCAGCAACAACAGATGACCTAGGGCCCATGCTCCTGAGGACTAGCCATCTGCTGACAAGTTCAGGAAACAATCAGGAATAGTAAACTCACCTCAAAGCCCATCTGAGCCAAGCCAACCAGAAGTTATTGTGGAGACAAAAAGGAATTGTATCTTATTTCTTAGAACCCCAGTTTTTGCATAGCATTATATTATTTTCTGTAGGGTCTTGGGAGAATTTTATTTAGACCAGAAGGGAAAAGCAGATGCTAGAATTGAAGAACCCTGAAGACCCTGCCCCGTCCCCAACACAACAGCATCCACCCCTCACATGGCCATGGGCAGTGTCCGCGGGCTCCATTCACTCATTCATTCATTCATTAAGACGAGGGCAAGTTGCAGAGAGAGGACCCCAAATTCCATTTCCGCCCATCCTGACTAAATCCTGGGGGCACCAGGAACAGCAGGTTTGGTTGCTCCTTCCTGCTTTCTTGGTTTGGAGGATGGTAGCCTGGCAGCTCGCGGGAAGGGAGCAGTATAAGGAGACCCGCGTCAGAAGATGGTGTTTTTAAAGCTGGCCGGTGACTGAGCAAACCACTAAATCCTCCGTGCCTCCAGGTGCCCATGCCCCTCTCTAATGTGAAAGCGTGTATGTCAGAGAGACCTGTGAAGGTCGTCCAGGTATGTGTACGGGCCATGAAGAGTCCAGTAAACCCCTCCTGAAAGCTATACTAACAGTAGCATTCACCCAGGAACTCCGACACCCCCTAGTGATCATGGTCCCTAGTGATCATGGTCACTAGTGACCAGGGAGCAGCCGAGTGAGGACACGCCCTCCTTACCGGCTGAGGTCTGCGTGACTGTCTGTGCCGCCGCCTGCAGCTGCATGATGTCCATCTGGTTGGTCATCTCCGAGAACTTGCCCTCGGCCTCCGTGAGGCGCCCCTCCAGGCGCTTGCTGCCGCTCTCCAGCTCCATCACCTGCATGACCACGCTGACCCAGTCCCGCTCCTGCTTCTGGCTCAGCTCACCCAGCAGGCCGCTCAGGTTGGCAATTTGGGCCTTGAGCTCCTTCACCTCCTCACAGCAGGCCGCCACTTTGAGCTGTCCAGGTGTCTTACGCTTCGGGGGCTTCTGGGGCCACACCGGGGGGCTGACAAAGGCCACGGTGAAAACACAGAGCCAGGTCACAGCTGCAAGAGACTGTTTGAGCATCGTGCTTGGACCTGGGTGGGAGAGAACCTTCCTTTGCCTGGGGGAATCAGGATATGCTCAGTTAAAGCTTGCAGAGCGGCAAGAAATGGTATAAAACCTCCACTCACGCTAGACTGACTCGTACTTGGTCGAGTTCTTTCTTTCCTTGCTCTTTGGTAGCCTTCTCAGAGCTTGAGTTGTTGAAAGGAGACGTGAAGTGGGTGTCCTGTAGCCCTCCTTCCCAAGCCTGCATGCTCTACCAACTCCACGTCTTAAATATTGTTTGCTGCCTGCACCTCCACCCCACCAAGGCTGTGCTTTAGCCCCTCCCAGCTCATCTGGGAGGGTCAGGTGCCTGCTGGCTGACGTCAGCGCAAGCTTAGGCCAGACGGGGGAGCGTCCGTGGGGGGCGGGGGGGACGCAGGGGTGCGACCTTTCCTTGCCTGCGCAGTCTCTGGGCAGAGACCAGAGGACTGCAAAGTTGTGGGTTTCCCGATTCGCCTATTAAATTATGGCCCTGCCAGCCACTCAGTCAGTTCTATCAGCAAGCAGGACGGGGTCAGAAGAATTTCCAAATTCCATTTTCTCAGGTTATGTAACGATGGGGTTGGGAATAAGACTCTTTATTCAGCCAGGGAGACCTGTTAATGTGATCCGTGTTCTTTATAGGAGGCTCTGCTGTACTGTGAATGTGTTTTAACTAAGCTGGTCATTCCTTTCTCTAACCACAGTCAGTGTTTAGCAGAACATTCCTTCTACCTGGATTTAACACCGTCTCCCAGTCAAACGTGGCCAACTTAGAAAAAGGGTAGGAATCGGAGGAATAAGCTGAGACGCTCCAGAAGGAAACAGGAAGCGCTGTGTCATTGGTAGCCGCAGGGACGCTTTGATGGCTTCATCTCTTCTGAAATGCTTTGCCCTGCAGCACAAAGTGGGCCGCTCACGCTGGCGACATCACAGCAGAGATGAAAATTCAGGCGAGCCGGGCAGGGTCTGGCATCGGTCCCCTGAACCTCCAGCAGAGTTTGGGCAGAACAAGGACCAAGCCTATCTTTGAGAGGAGAAGAGGGTACTGTTATTCCGCCTCCCCTCCAAGATTATAAAGATAACATAGGCCCGGGGTTCTCTCTCTATCAAAACATAAAGATAAGAATCCCCATCGCCAAATAAATCCATATGTAGAGCCCCATCACCCTCCTCCTACCCAGTGTTTTATCTCTTGAAATTATTGTCTGCGTTGAGCTATAATTTTGTATCTGAAAATAGGGCTACTTTACTTTTTTTATGTACATATTTGAAAGACATTCCTCCTTTGTACACATGTGAACAAACCTTCAATTCCAGCAAAGTAAGCTTTTCACTAAGAACGTATACAGAGGGCAGACGGTGCCTTTGGAGCAGACTGTTGCTGGTCCCGTGTGATGGAGCCGTGGAAGCAATGTTACAAGTCACGTTGGTGATTGTTCAGTGTGAGCCCTTCACGCCCAGGCTGACAGCCTCCTTCTCAGCCACACTCCTCCAGAGCCCTTCCCCAGTGGAGCTTCTGGTGTAAGAAAGTAGTTTCTATCCAGGCAGCTGGAGTTACCAAACATTTATTTTCTCTCCCTAAGTCAGTGGTTCTCAACCTTCCTAATGCCGTGACCCAACCATAACATTATTTTCGTTGTTACTTCGTCGCTGTCATTTTGCTACTGTTATGAATTGCGTGACCCCTGTGAAAGGGTTGTTCGACCCCCACGGGTTGAGAACTGCTGCTCAAAGTCAGAGAGCAATAGGGGATCCAAGGGGACCAGGGCCCATTTTCTTGGAACCTTTGTCACCCTGGTCTGTTAAGGAGTGAGAATGTTGCTAGCACCCTACAGCAACTTCCCCTTCTGCTGTGCTCACTCGCTGCCACGGTGTCCATTCTGACTCATGCCGACCCTATGGACAGGGTAGAACTGCCCCTCTGAGTTTCTGAGACTAACTGTGTCCAGGAGCAGAAAGCCGCATCTTTCTCCCATAGAGTGGCTGGTGGTTTTGAACTGCTGACTTTGTGGTTAGCAACCCAACGTGGAACCACTTGGCCTGCCCGCCAGGAGATTCTAAACTATCTGCTGGGCCCTGTTCTCTCTTTGCAAATACAGGCCCAACCCAGAGATAGTGTGGGTTTGGTTCCAGACTGCCCCAATAAAAGGAGCCACAAATATGTTTGGTGCCCCAGAGTATATGAAAGTAATGTTACACTGTAGTCTATTAAGTGTGTAATAGCATTATGAGAAAGTTTGAAATATTACAAGGATTACCAAAATTTAGACACAGAGACACGAAATAGCACATGTTGTTGGAAAAATGGCACCAATCGGCTTACTCTTTACATAATTGCCACAAACCTTCCATTTGGCAAAAACACTCTATCCGACACAGGCATTAAAGCAAAACTCAATAAATGAGGTATGCCTGTATTGAGCCCAGCTGGGCACCATAGCCCCATAGAGTTCCTTTCACTAATGAAAGCCAGGTCCTAAGCTGTCAGCAGCTCACAGCGATGGTCAGTCAATGCCACAGGGGTCTTCAGAGCGAGTCTGAGCTGACACCAAGTGTCCGAGAAGCACCGTGGGCCGTGGAATGGGCCAAACTCACAATTGGTAGCCCAGTGGAGAAAGCACAAAGGAGAATGGAGCTTGGTGGGTTCCCAGCCCGTCTGTTTGTGCTTCCTATAACTGCTCCCCCTGCCCATACAGGAAGACGTTGTGACTAGATGTTCATAGCGGACAGGAAGGGAATCAGTCATTCATATCTGCAGCCCATGTAGCATCCTTTCTAGGAAAGGAAGGGGCTTGGTTCATAAGTGTGGAGCAGAAGCATTAGCTTGAATGCATCGTCTCTGGCATTTATTTTCTGGAAACTTCTAACAAGACATAAGATGAAAACAGAAATTTTTCTTTAGCTGTGTCAAGGGTTTTTTGTTTTGTTTTTCAAGTTGCCTAAGCTGCCCAAATGTCAATAAACTTTCCAAGATTTTGAGAGAGAGAAAAAAATAGCTGATTGGGGACTATCCCATGCCAAGAGATTATCCGTTCTCTACCAATGGCCCCAGGATGTCTTAGATTCTGAATTGCTAAGAGAAGCAAGAGTGAGCCCTTGTTTTGTGCAGAAGGAAGCCAGTAGAGAAAATCATGAAGAATGTGCCGGGCTCCGGTGGGCTTTCCTTCTCAGAGAGGTACTTGAATGACTCTGCCTTTCAGTAAACAGACTGGCCATGAAAATGTGAATTAACTACAGGAAAAGAATGGGAGACCTGGGTTGGATAGCTGACAGTTTCTCCTTTGCTCCATTTTAATGATGAACAAGGGTCAGCTTGGAGCCTCAGGGAAGATGTTTGTAAAAATAAAACTTATATTCTTATTGATTAAAGTCAGTTACCTTTTGGTTAGGCTGAAAGTTCTCAAAGCTTCCACCATGTTTATGCTTTCTCATTGCATATAAGCCCTGGGGGTATTCTGGGTTACGTGTGGGGCTGCTACTCGCAAGGTTGCCAGTTTGAACCTACCAGCCACTCCAGGGGAGAAAAATGGACATTGGGAAAACCACCTTGGGAACGATGCAGCCATTAGCTTCGAACGCTGAGTCTACCCTGTGCCCCAGCAAATTCTTCTAGATGTTGTATTCGCAGCGGACATTTGAGCACCCCTCACCAAAGATGTACAAAAATGTTCATGGTAGCGCCACTCAAAATAGCCCAAAACGGAACATTCATCAGCAGTAACCGGATAGATTGTGGCACTTTGGTGTGATAAGGAAGGGGACACAGACCACTGAATGCAACAAGGACGCACCTCCCAGACCGTCGTGAGCGCCATCGTGTGGGGGGTCAGGCAGTGGTACGCTCCTGGAATGAGGCCTGGGAGGAAGCGCCAGTGTTTCTGAGCTGCCAGCAGGGTGTTGGGTACCGTTTCTTTGGGTGGGTGGTAGTTACAACGGTGCTTTTACTTTGTGCTAATTTACCCTTATGCATATACTTTCCTGTTTATGTTTACCTTAATTAGCTTATTTTTAAAACAAGTGATGCATGTAAAACACTTGGAATAGTGTCTGAGATGTAGTCAGCAGCCAGCAAATATTAAATAATATTACATAGGTGCACAATCGTCAACTCATTAACCAACGCAAATATAAACTAAGTCCCGCATGTGACTTTTTGCTTCATGGTATTTACCTCCACTATATTTTTCTCAAAATCCTTGAGTGACACTAACAGTTAGGTATGTGGCTACTAAGCAAAAAATAGCCGGTCAAACCCACCCGGAGGTACCTCAGAACAATGACCTGGTGCTCGGTTTCCAGAGAACCAGCCATTGACAGCCCTGTGGAACACAGCTCTTCTCTGCTCTGCCACCGGGGGTCACCAGGACTCCGAATCAATTTTAGAGCAACTGGTTCTGTCTTCCATTTGTGTTTTCCATATGTACCTCACGAACACTTCAGCCCTGTGAAGGTGAGTGCCTTGTCTGCCCTGTGGACCATGGTCCCCCGACCAGCTAGCATTTAGCACAATCCTACAAGAACCCAGGTTCTTAACGGAATGAATCAACTCCAAACCAGAGGCTCTCTTCGGCCCTTCAGTCTCTCACCACAGTTAGGGTCTTCATTGTAAGGCATCCCCTTCTCTCCTGCCGTACGTCTCTGTTCCTTCTTTAGGTCTTAATCTTAGAACCAAAGAAAGTGAGGATTGAAAGAATGAAGATAGTTTGGTTCGGCCCTCATGTTTGTAGCAATAATGACACGGTATCTCTGTTGCGCAAACCCTTCACATCCTTGGAAACCATTCTTTTCTGTCTCCCTCTCCCTACTATGAGGAGCGGAGAGAGGACTGCTAGAGCTTTGTCCCACTCTGTATTCCACAGGCCCGACAAAATGGCTTATCTGATTACTTCCATGTGTGGTGCCCTAGCAGTTAACTTGCATCACAGCCCGAGGGACACATGCAGTTGAAGACAGAACAGAGTAACAGAGCACCCCATAAAACAACCTTGTTTTGAGCAGCTGTATCCCAGTAACGACTCTGGTATATCCCCAAAGGGGAGTCAGACGCCACTGCACTGCAATGTTTGTGCCACCCGCTGAGCTCCCACAGTGCAGAAGCGGGGCCTCCAGCCACCCTGTGAGCTGCAGGG